ACTGTCTGGCGCGTCTGCCTCCGCGACCCGAAAGGAGAAGCGGCGATGGAAGATGAAGATGAAGATGAAGGGTAAAAAATAGAATACTGTCACTGCATAGGACGGTATGGATACGTGAGGCACAATACAGTGAATCCGTGTTTTTACAGCTTATGGAACTAGGAACATCTGCAATAAACATGGCAATGGTCACTCTGCAAGAATTCCAATGACCAGAGCGAAGTCGCATCGGTCTTTTCCTGCCCAATTATTAGCCAACTTTGGAGAAAGAGAGAGAACGTCATATGTGATCATGGTATGGAGAAATCGCGGGCAAAGGAAAGATTCGAAAGACCGGAATATAATTCACTACCAACATTCCGTACAAGAACAAGCTGTTTGCCCCCACTGAACCACATGGCTGTTGTGCAAAATATGATTAAGGATAGAAGCATATTGACTGGCGTATAAACAAACTTTTGCTTGAAAATTCCAGTGGTGCAGCTTTGCATCCACCGACTACAGATGTTAATCCATGGAACCATGATATGCTTTAGCGGTCCGCAAGCTATGAGAAGCATGGATATGCGATGTGATTTCACCGTAAGAAAACTGGAGAATAGAGATGATTAAACATATCCGATCAGATATTTGGCCTTCCCTTCCTCAGATAAATTTTTTCCTTACTGGTAGCTTGAAAAATCTGATAAGCAGGGAGTTTTCGAACTTGCTCCATATCGACGACTGAAATTTACCACAACCATACTTACAAACAAGACTCGGTTTTCGTTCGATTTCTGCATCGAAACTTGAAGCTGCAGTGCCCACAGCGTTCAGGTATGACAAACCCTGGTGGTGTCGGAACGACCGTTGACAGGTTTCGCATAGACGGTATTCCACAAGTATCTGCAATCTTACTATACATGTTGCGTAGCGGATACCACAGGCATTCGTCAGTCCATGAGGTCCAGTTGGAGAACGTTGGACAGGCGGCGTTGACTGAAATGTGCAATGATGAACACAGGCTCAGCACGTATTTATCGCTTACCGTAAACAGCTAGTAGCGGAATCAAAATAATGAGGGCCGAGGACCACATGGTGTACTTTGCCTCGGCGTGCCTCGCAGCTTGCAAATGAACACTGGCCGTAACACTGGTTTATATACCAGGCGTTTATATCACTGGTGGACGCATGCAAGAAAACCGATCATCCGCCAGCACATGTGATCGATGGCTAATCAAGCGCAGAAACGGTTTTTAAGTGCCAGGCTTGAGATCTGTGGCCAAAAGTCGTCATCAAACTTGGCCGAAGCTGCGCGTTCAGACTTAGATCGCCTGTCGCTTGATCCTCGCGACCACCGAGGTTCGGCTGTCGTTTTTTCCCTCCGGAAATCGCCCGCACGCACATCGACATTTAGACACTATGGTCTGATGCAAAATGAGCCATAGATTCGAGTTCGTTGGCGAGGCAACGTGGAATTTAGTTTTGTCCGTTGTTTCGAGCAGCTGTCAAGAGAAGCTGGTCGCCGGCTCGACGGCAGACATCGCACATTCATGAAAAAAATAACCAACGTAGGTTTAACGTCTCCTTTGCGAACACGGCGAAGTCAACATCGTTGCATCAATCGACTCCACGATGTGATGATGGGCAAACTTCAGCAATTTTGAACCTCTGGACCTGTAATTGTTAGCGAAGCACTAAACACGTTAATCAGATTAAATGCAAATAAAATTTGATTTTATTTTGACGCAAGCAATGACTCAGCAACTCTGGTCAGAATAGGTTCCAAGAGAGTGTAAACGGTCTGCATGAAGGCCTACGGTTCGATGGCAAAATGAGCTGAAGAAGCTTACTGGATCAAAATGGATGAAAATGGCAGAAAAGAGAAATCTACGGCTATGGTTTAGACATATATAGGCAACACACCCAACATTCCTCGTGATTTCAATGATAGGAGTTCCGGGGATTTAATTCACACTGGCAGAATTATCTGAAAAATGCGGCAAAACCTGGCCGTAGCACTGCAACGTAGCTCGGCAAGCATCTGATTTGCGTGCTCCCAAGTTTCGAAATGCTCTAAGCCGTTTTAAATTCAATTTTCTCACCCTGAAGGCCGCAGGGCTCAGCTGCTGTTTGGCGTCGTTCATCAGGGCGCAAATTTGGCTATAGAGCTTTGTTTATGGCTTTCGCTAGTTTTATTTGTTTCCTTTTTTAACACTGCTACTTAATTTCAGCTGCTATTTAATTTCGTCAGTCCTTTATTTCCTGTCTATGCCACAAATGTAAGCAGCATTCCTTTGCGATTTTTTCAAGCGGTAGAGCTTTAAATTCAAATTTTAAACAAATTCATAACCACTTCGTAATTTTCACACAGTCTCTACTTGTCAATGGGTACAATTTGAGCAATTATGTAAGTTTGCGAAGTCAAGAGAAACGACTTTTAATTTAGACTGGTCAGCAGGCATTCATCAGAATGTTCAAAATGAAAAGGATACAGAAGAATGCGTCTTAGAATTTACTTGAAAAGAATATATCATACGACACCGTAAAAACGTAAAGCTGCCATTAGCTGTTCTAAATATGTAATTAGTTAATTCACTTCATTCATCTCGTAAAATCTTCAACAGACATGGGCAAAGATAGGCTAAAATGAACTTTCTTTCAAAAAACGCTAAAATAATTTCACCGAGGCTGTTTCACTTGTTCGTTTAGGAAGATTCAGCACAGTAATGACACACATATCAGAAACAAAGTTGTCACCGTATTAATAATGACGATTAATAGAACATGATAACAAGAACTGAATTTGGACGCATGTAATAACTATCTGAGACTGCGGTAACTTCTCTGTGTCGAATTTATGCAACTGTAAGAAAATGCGACGATAAACAGATTCAACAAACACTTCACAATGGTCCTGAAAATATATCTTTCTTCTATAAATGACATTAATGATGCCGACGCTGGGTTATGCTACTGCTAGCGCATACATTTGGAATCCTAAAATGGTTCAGACCCCCCTTTTACGATCTCGATCGAAAGGTAAAGAGTACACTGACGGCTTTCCGAGATCATCTTTAGCCAGGTTACACTTACCAAAGAAGTAAATCAGCCGCGGTCTACTGAACATTGCTAATCGCTGCAAAGAATCAGAAAAGAACCTTCCCGCATACTTTCTGACGAAAAATTCACCTTTATATATAGCCATAGCAGATGCTGACAAAGCATATACGCCGCTAAGGCTTTGTGAAAGCGAAAAGGTAGTAGAGATGAGAAATGTAATATCCCGACTTGATTAATGAAGTAAGAAAGCTATACATGGGCGTGACTATGCTGTCCTTAAATCTAATGGAACTGACCTGGAAAAGTCGCCTGCTTGGCTTCGAGAGGCGGATTATTCGCAGAAACAAAAGGCTTAATAGTGACAATCCAAGCTCAGGCAGTGCTTACGAGGAACTGTAGAAAATATCCCTGAAAGAAATATCTAGAGTAAATGCAGGATGTGCGGCATAAAAAATCTATCCAACATTTTATTCTATTTTGGCAAAAATAATACCTCAAACGACGCAATACCATCGCAACGCTCATTCACCAACAACTGACACTTGAAAGAAGCATTATCTCATAAACGGAACCGTATTATCCATACCATCCAGAGTATATGCTAAAAAAAGACCAAAGCACCATCCAAGTCAACCATCCATTCGTGCTGCAGATCACAATCACCCAAACACACTAATCCCGGATTGCAAGAAAAGACAGCTGAAACAGCCGGTGGCGAATATGAGAAATCATCAAAACCTGATGATTGATTTGGACCAGGTACATCGGTCGATGACTGAAGGAACAGTATCAATTAATAACGCCGCAAATGGCCTCATTGCATAATCAGTGAATGAAGCCCACGAAACGACTAATGAAAAATTGCCAGAAAACTATTGTTCTGGATATATGCAGAATGGGGCGAAAGTCAGACTAGGGTTGTATTCTGCCAAGATTCAGACGGTGGTACAAGATTTGGAACGCGTATGCCTCTGTTACCCGAAAGGAGAAGCGGTCAAGGGAGATAAAGTAGTGCAAAAAATTATGAACATTAAAAGTTTGTAATAAGCGGCAGAATAGTTGGCCATGCTTAGCCACTGGCTGCTCACAATTTCTGCACAGAAGCATATAAAGTTATAAATTAATCAAAATTATTTGCGTCTGACCAGTGAAAATCGACTAATAGTGCCGGCCGCAATACACGTCATTCTTCATCGCTTCGAGCCTTCTCTCCCCAACATCAGCCTTTCCGGCTCCTGGTATAAACTTCCCATCACTGTGCTGGGCGACCAAGCGGCCTAGTCCGCCAGCAATGGTTTCAATCGAAGATCATCGCGGACTATCTCCTATCGATGAGCCAAGCAACGTGCCCGACCATCGTAGCTTCTTCTGATTTCGACGACGATGTTCTTCACTCCCATCTGCTGTATGAACAGCGGGATGAAGATGTGGTACATGGATCTATCGGTGAGAGACAGCCGGTGCTTTTCGACTTCAGTGAGTGACCACGTCTCACAGCCCTAGAACGCCTGGCAGGATGGTAGAATTTAACAGGTGGGCACGAATTTCTTCCCTCAGATCGGCCAGCAGGAAGAACTCGATGAAATGGAACGAGCAGCAACCAGTAATTTTCCCCATTGAAAACCTCGTCTGATCATGCTGCATGTTGATCTCTTGTAAATCTATATATGGACCTATTCGAGCTTATCGCCGTTTATTCTTACCTGGCCTTCAGTAGGGCATCTGATCTTCGTCTTCTGCAAATAACGCCGTCGCCAGCAAACCCAGGTGACTGTGCTATTCGCCACTGATAAATTACCTACCCTTTCAATTTATCCTACGGAACAGATTTTCAAAGAAGCAGGGAAAAGTGTAGGGTTTTGGTGTCCCTTTGTTTCTCCATAGGAATCCAGTGGAAAAAAGTTTAGTAATGACATCAAATGCGTGCCTTATTTAATATTCTCGATTCGTTATTCTCAAAATCAACAATATAATCGAGCGTAACACGAGCTGTATGAGTCTAACGAAGCTAATACTGCAAAAGTGCCATACTACAAGAATGAACCGAAAGATCGCCACTCTGAAAGTAACCGTATTCGTGGTGCTCATGAACAGTCATGAAACATCTGCTGTTCTGAAGCATTCTCATGTAGATACCTTCCAACAACACTGTGCATAAAATATTCCCAAAGTGCGATGGTGCGATCGGGTCACGAACGAGCATCTACTGACCACAAGCAGTCTGCGGAGACTATCAGATGAACTAAGGGACCGGCGAACGGAGGGGTTCGATAAAATAGACCAAAAAGAGAATGGAAATATAACTGAAAATTTTCTCACCTGGAAACATACACTGACAATAGAAGCACTGGAGACACTATGAAACATGGAAACACCTCGTTGAAGCAGTCATATTTGCGAAAAGGAATATGACCTTGGTGGCAACAATAGGCACTGCCTAATATCCATTTCTGACGATAAGACAA